ACATCAGTAAAGCTTCCCCACAATGCAACAATTAGGAGGCTTGGATTCGGTCTGCCTGATTTAAGGCGGTAAGCGCCAGCAAAGCTCGACCAGAGTATGAGCTGCAGGTCACCGAAGATAGGCACGAACCAACACTAATAAGTCTCCCCCACAATAAGGCAATGAGAAGGCTTGGATTCGGTTTGCCTGATAGGTTTTGTAAACACCTGCAGGCAGTTCTAGCAGAGCAGAGCATGCGCTGCAGGGCACCGAACACAGGCACGCATCAGCGCCTAAAAACCTCCTCACAATGGCGAAGAGAGGACCCGGATTCGGTTTTCCTGATTGATAGGACTTGTAAGAGCCTGTGGCAACTCTAGCAAGTAGAGCAGAGTGTGTGCCGCGGGACACCGAAGACAGGCGCGTATCAACGCTAAAAAATAAAAAGAAAGGGGGATCTGTGGGGAGCAATCCGGACTAGACTGTTACTCGAATTAGGACTTATTCTATGCATCTGCTCTCCCACAATATGGCGCTGGGAGAGAAGTAAACAGCTTTCGCACAGCTGCCTCCAGTTCAACCAATTAACTGTAGGACTTGCTCCTGATTGGAGAGCAGCGTACTCGGCGTGTGGGCAGCCGAGTTGGGATTGGCGGAGGAGGACTATAAAGGAGGAGAGAAACGGCATGCACGGGGAACATCTATGGGGAACATCTAAGGGAACCCGTGCAGCCCCCGAGAGAACCGGCCGGCGGTGTGCCGCTCCCCTGCGGAAGTGGGGAATGTGGCCAGGGGGAACTGCCCTTCCACGGAGGTGGAAGGGATAGTAGCCAACCCGGGAAGAACCAGCAGCAAACCCGGGGAGGGCCGAGCAGACGAAAGAACAGCGCAGGGTCCTGTGTTGCTCCTCCACGAAGACGGGGAGCGACAATTTCTAAGATTTTAGTCTTCTGTAACTTATTGAGATTTATTTTATGGGTCAATATATAATCTTTCTTGGTGAAAGCCCAAAGTGCACATGTGTGTATGCATGTATGTGTGTGTGTTTGTACATGTGTATATGTGTGTATGTATAGGTGTGTAAGTATGTGTATGTAAATATGTGTATTGTAAGTATGTGTGTATGGGTAATTATGTGTATGTGTGTACGTGTGTATGTGTATCCATGTGTATATGTTTGAGTATATGTGTATGTGTGTACATGTGTGTATGCGTGTGTGCGTGTGTATATGTGTAAGTATATGTGTGAGTGTATATGTGTGTACATGTGTGAGTGTGTGCATGTTCTCTAGTGTGGCCAGATAGTGACAGTCCTGTTCGAATCCTCTATGTCTTCCTCATTTATTTTCTCCTATTCATTCCCCCATTACTAAGAAGCATTAAAGTATCTAACTGTGTCAGTGCATTATGTCTTTCTCCAGTTCTGTCCACTTTGTATCCATGTATTTTGAAGTTATTGTTAATGATGTATACATCTATAATTGTCGTGTCTTGAATGAATTGTCTCTTTCATTATAAACTATCTATCTCTGGTAATATTCTCTTCTTAAAGTCTATTTGTCTGTTACTAAAATAGTAGCTCAGCTTCATTTTTTTTCTAACTGGGTTTTTTCCCCATCCTTTCATTAGCAGCTTATCTGGTTATTTATATTAAAAATGAATCTCTTGATGAAAATCCATTATCCAGTCCGACAATCTCTGCCTTTTAATAGAAATATTTAGTACATTTACATTTAGTGTAATTAATCATAAGGTTGGGTTGAAGCCTACCATCTTGCTATGTATTTTGAATATGTACATTCTATTTTTGTTACTCTGAATTCTTTCCTGCCCTCTTTTGAGTTAAGAAAAGAATTTTTTTAGTATTTTCATTCTTTTGGCTGTTTAGCCACATCTCTTGGTGTTATAATTGATGGTTAATCTAGGATTAGAATAAGTGTCTTAATTTATCAGTGGCGTAATGTTGACTTCTTCCCACTCTTCCCAGGCTGCATCTTCCTGAGCAGCTGAGCTGAGAAACCAACCCTCCCCCCCTCACCGGGGTGGGGCCCCCGAGAGGGCTGCAGGGAGTTGGGAGGGGGGGAGATGCAGGGACCAGGTCTCAGGCAGCCGCCTGTCCCTGGGCAATGCTCGGACCTCAGCCAGCTCAGCACTCAGGGCCTTCCCACCCCAGCCCGAGTCGTCCAGTTCCTGAGCTTGGTGCTAGCATTGGCCATGAAGAGTTCATAGTCACAGTTGCCTGTTCTCTCAGCCCTGGAAGCCCCAGGGGGATGCTCACTAGCGACGTTTGGGGAGCTGGCCCCACTCTTGGCCTCCTTGTCCGCGTCTCAGCCTCCCGGGGGCCGTCCCTGAGTCCCTCTGCCTGAGGCCGTCCTCTGCTTTCTGCAGGGCCTTGGGGCCAAGGGAGATCTCATGCCCCATGGGGGCCAGAAGGAAGGAAGCCCCAGGAGGAATTCAGGATTCCGTGGCCCTCGCACCACACCATGGGGTGTCCTTGGCTTTGGTCCAAGAAAAGCTCCAGGTGTGGGTTTACAGCATTGTCACATCTGACAATTTTATGGTTATTTTATCAGCAAGTTAGAGGGGACACTGCTAACAGTAACTGGCTTTCTACATTCTGTATCCAAGACAGATACATATACTTGTCATAGGAAGGCATTTCATAAGGTTCAGGAAAAATGGAATAAAAAGACAAGTGTATTCCAGTGCAAAAAAAAAAATTATTTCCGTGGAAACAAAGGATTGTTGCAAAGCTCATGGAAAATGTGTATTATGAAGCAACTGTGAATGAATTTTTAACGATATTGCACTGGAATAGGCCCACCTTTTAATTCCAGTTTTGTGAGCTTTTCTGAAGTCCCCGTGTGTGCGCATCGGTGACTGAAGAGCAGAGGTAGGCAGCTCACGGCAGGTCCTCGCGATCACGGTGGGCAGCGGGTGGAGCGCACTGCTGGGGAGCGCACTGCGCTTTATCCTCGTCCCTGGAGTGGAGGCAGGACCCCACCTGCGGGCATGCAGCGGCTGTGAGGACTGAGTAGGAGGGCGCACGTCACGTGTTTAGAACAGCGTCTCCGAGAGGCTGTCAGACACTTGTTGCTGTGGTTGCTCCTTTGTCGTGTGAAGTACCCGCAGAGGCCGGTCTGTGTCTGTACAAGGTCATGAACAGGGGGCTGTGTTCCATCCTAGCACAGGTGCAAACAGCTCCCTTGTGCCCTGGGTGAGTCTGGCTCCTTGCAGCCTAAGCTTGCATAAGGTCAGCGGTGCTGCTCCCACCATCGAATCACTGCCGACGATGCCCTGGCTGCCCCGTCAGAGCTGGCTCTTCCACCTGCGTGCAGTCTGGGGCATGACCCTCCCCTCCCCACCCCACCCCACCCCCGCCGCACCCTGCCCAGGGGCCCTGAGCACACAGCGCCTATCCACACATCCGTGTGGGCAGCGCAAGCTCCCGGGCTCCCGGCAGACCCCACTGTCTGAGGAGGCCCTGGGGAGGGCGCCGAGCAGGTGGAGAAACGCAGGATTTTAGGAAGTTGGGGATTAAAGCAGGTTGCTAGGCTGGAGAGAGCTGGGGGTGGGGGAGGAGGCAGTGTCCCTTCCCCCAAGCCCTGAAGGAAAGGACCCAGTGCCTCACCCCCTGTGCAGGGCTACCTGCCTGCCCTGAGACATGGTGCCCTCTCGCTTCCCCATGTACTCAAGAACAGGGCACACAGGTCAAAGCCAGGATCCGTGCATGGTTGTCCACGGTAACCACGGAGGATCACTTCCAGGACTGCCTGCAGGTCCCGCAGCCCACGGTGCTCAAGTCCCTGCCGTAGAATGGCCTTGTGTCTGTGTGCAATCTACGCACGTTCTCCTTACCCCCAGGTCTCACAATACGCAACACAACACGAATGCCACGTAAATAATGCTTGGACCGTATTGCCCAAGGAACAGTGGCAAGACAAAAATCCGGATGTGTTCAATACAGGTGCAGTTTTTCCTTCAAGTTTTTAATCCAAGGTTGGTTAAATCCCTAGATAAGAAATCCATAGAGGCCAGCACCATGGCTCACTAGGCGAATCCCCCGCCTGCGGCACTGGTACTCCGGGTTCTAGTCCTGGTCGGGGCGCCGATTCTGTCCTGGTTGCTCCTCTTCCAGTCCAGCTCTCTGCTGTGGTCCGGGAGGGCAGTGGAGGATGGCCCAAGTGCTTGGGCCCTGTGCCCACATGGGAGACCAGGAGAAGCACCTGGCTCCTGGCTTCAGATCGGTGCAGCACGCCAGCCGTAGTGGCCATTTGGGGGATGAAAAGAAAGAAATATGTAGATTTGGAGGGCCAAGGATGTACTACTTCATGGGATCCTCTTCCAGAATGTACTACAATGTACTACATCCAGGCCTTTCCTGGACTGCCATGGATTTGTTTCCAGGGGATTAGAAGGGCTGAAGGTAAATTCTTTAACAATGAGTCCAGGCACTGCCCGTGGCCACCCCACAGCTCCCGGCGCCCAGACAGGGCTGGCTTCCAGGCACACTCTGGGAGGGACCACCGTGACACCAGCCATGAGTGCCTCCCTAACCCAGCGACGCAGGGTTTTTACGACCAAGCGCAGCCTCGTAAAACATCCCCCTCTTTTGCGCAAAGCAGCCTCGGTCTGACTTGCAAGGCGGTCGTGTGTTCTCAGCCGGCCAAGAACACCAGATGGCCCCAAGGGTCAACGACATCGCCCTGAGCCCCGCCGGCTTCGCCCTCGGGACTGTGCAGCCATGTTGTGTGTCCGCCAGCCAAGGTCAACCGAAGGGAACCTGAGCCCCACCCGTGGTGGGACTGCCCACGCCCGTCTCCCCTCAGCCTTGTCCCAGCCTCTGTCCTAGGAGCCTGGATCACGCAGGCCCTGCATCCGTCTCCATTTCCCTCTGGATCGGCATTCTCAGCCATGGATGAGCCTCTCTGAGAGCAGAACTGGGGGGCCCGCGAGGAGGGCGGGGGTCCGGGCCGGGGGCTCAGCCTCGTGCGTCCTCAGTGGGCCTCGATGTCTTTCAGCTACCTGCTGCCGCACCTGCTTCCCGCCAAGCCCGGCCTGGACACCCACGGCATGCGGCACCCCGCGGCCAACACCATCCAGAGGGTGTTCAAGATGAGCTTCGTGCCTGTCGGCTTCTGGCAGAGGTTTATAGCGCGGATGTTGATCAGCTTGGCCGAGATGGACCTGCAGGTAAACACGGCCTCTGTGCCGGGGAGGCGGCTTGGGGGAGACACGGCCTTGCCCGCTCAAGCTGCTTCCCCTGGGTGACACCACCAACCCAGGCCCAGGCCGCAAGCCCAGCACAGACCCTTGCAGCCTTCCTGGGCCCCCCGAGATCAGTAGCCTTGGCTGAGGCAGAACCCCCCTTTCGGAGAGAACGCCTCATCGTCACCCACCTCCACCTCGACTTGCCTAGAGCGTGTTCCCACAGCACGCCCAGGGCTTCTGACTCGGTGGGTGGGGCTGGGGCCGAGGACTGGCACTTCTGACCGGCTCCCCGGGACGCCGATGGCCCCGCCACCACACTTGGGGAACCTGACTTTAGAAGCTGGGATCAGGCTGTACACCCCACTCACTGGGCCAGGGGAGAGGGCCCCAGTTCTGGCAGACACACACCACCCCCAGAGCACCCCGATCAGAACACCTGGGTGTGGCTCCCGGTGGGGAGCAGTCCCTGCTGTCAGTCGGCATCCATTTCCTACAACAGTTGACTACTGCGTGGTTCTCCGTGGGGTTCCCAGAGCAGCAGCGCCTCGTCCGGGAACACAGGGAAATGCAGATCCTCAGCCCCCCCACCCCACCCCAGTGCAGAAGTCCATCTAGAACTCGGGGTGGGGGGAGCCTAGACATCTGCTCCCATGAGCGCCCACCCCCGAGGTCCCTTATGCACTCTGTGGTTTACATCAACCCTGGCTGTGGAGTCCTTGACATTGAACTCTGCGTGAGTTTGCTTTTCCTACCTTCTAATTAGAAGACCCTCATTGGGTTATATAACTCCTTGGCTCCAGAAAGATGTTCTTTGATCTTCCTATTTTATTCAAACAGCAAGAAAAATAAAGGCAAGAACCCAGAAAGCCCAGGCGGGGGGCTGGGGGAGTTTGTAGCACCGGGAGGGCGTGCAGCAGGCTCTGCGCCCCCCCTCCCACCCCCGCTCTGCCTTTGAACTCCACTTCCCACTGGGTCCAAGTGGGAGGCCAGAACACCAGCACTGTCGTCGCTGGCGTGGGGCGCAGCTGGCTAGGAGAGGAGTCCTGTTGGAATTCAGATGGGTGAGCTGACCGGGAGAGGGGGAGTGGGAAGCTTAGCTCATCGCTCATCAAAGGCGTCCCTGTCCCAGGGGCACGAAACAGGCCTGGTGCGCTCTGAGCCCAGCTGCTCCCGTGCGACGGGCTCGGTGGTTTGCAAAGTGATTCCTCCCCGTGGATCCTGAGCCATGCCATCCGCTGTGACCCTGTGACCCTGTGACCCTGTGACCCAACAGCCCTGCTGCTCAGCATCCAAACTCAGGAGATAGTGGCCGGCCAGAGGCCACTGTGCACCGTGCTCGTGTGCAACACAGCCTAACGGAGGGAGCAAGTGCTTGGAACCAACTTAAACGTCCAAGAGAAGGGAATGGTTCCGGACATTACTGTACTTAGTACAAATAGAAAATTTTGGAAAAATAAATCTGTGGGTTTTTAATGACAAAAGATAAGTGGTAGCTCTTTTCCCCCAAAGACTTATTTATTTATTTGAAAGACTTACAGAGGGAGAGGGGGAGACAGAGTGTGAGAGAGAGGTCTTCCATCTGCTGGTTCACTCCGCAGGTGGCCGTAATGGCCAGTGCTGGGCCAGGCCAAAGCCAGGAGCCGGGAGCTTCATCCAGGCCTCCCAGGTGGATGCAGGAACCCACGCACCTGGGCCGTCTTCCACTGCTTTTCCCAGACCATTAGCAGGGCACTGGATCAGAAGTGGAGCTGCAGGCAGAGGCCTAATCTGCTATCCCACAACACAGACCCCATAAGTGGTGTTTTTAAAAACATAGAAAACTAGAAGTCCAGTCTGGTCACAGCTGGTTTCTAAACATATGGAGAAAGAATAAAAAACCTTGGAATAATGGACGCCAGCATCCTGCTAGCCTCCGTGTGGTGTTACACGGCTGCTTTATTTTCTCCCGTATGTTCTTCTCTTTTCCACGTTGTGTAGCATCAAGTTTTGCTTGTAAACTCGGGGAGGGAAAATGTTTGGAGTTCTGACCATTTGGGAGGCTCTGGGGACATGTGTAGCCCCGGCCCGGGAGTGCAGGGAGAGGAAGCCACGCGGGAGCCGGCAGGGAGGTGGCAGGTGCCGCCGGGGACGGGGGAGCTGGGCCGGCCAGGCCCCCGGAGCTCTGCACAGGGCCGGCGAGCAGGCGCTTTCCTCTGCCCCTCAGCTCTTTGAAAACAAGAAGAACAACACCAAAAGCCGGAACCGGAAGGTCACCATTTACAGCTTCACGGGAAACCAGAGGAACCGCTGCAGCACGTTCCGGGTGCGCCGCAACCAGACCATCTACTGGCAGGAGGGGCTCCTGGTCACGTTCGACGGGGGCTACCTCAGGTAGGAGCTGGCCGAAGCGCACCTGCCCTGGGAGGCGCGGCCCCCCCTCGCCGGGCATCCAGGGTTCTGCTCCCGAGAGGGGCCCGTGTGGTACCCACCCCCCACCCCTGCAACCATCCTCCCCCATCCTGCACACAGGTGGGGAGGGTGAGGGCCAAGCTGGCCGCCCCAGCCCAGGACCAGAGCGGCGGGAGAGGGGGCTGAGCGCCTGGGCACCTGCCCTGGACACACGGGTGGAGCCTGCAGGGGCTTTGCTGCCCCCCAGCCCACCCCTTGTTCCGAGAGTAGGAGCCAAGCGGGCTGGGGGTCGTAGGGGGCGGCGCTCAGACTCCCCCCCCACCACCACCACCACCCTTGCCCCATGACCTGACAAGACACCCACCTGGCGCCCTGTGCCTGGTGTTTTTAAGACACAGACATGAAGTCTGTCCAGCGGGTTTAGTGAATGAGAGCACACGCGACTGTTTGATATTTACGGTGTGTTTTTAAAAACTGTCCTTAGCTCTGTGAGGAGCGGAGAGGAGAAGGGGAGGTCACTCCCCAGGGGGCCTGCGCTGCGCCCCGCCAAGCTCTCTGTGAGCCCACGGACGCAGAGTGGGCAGGAGGGTCCTCCCTGGAGGCAGGGTGGTCTTCCCCCGGGTCCACAGCCCCTTCCTGCCTCCTGATTTTCAGCGTGGAATCCTCCGATGTGAACTGGAAAAAGAAAAAAAGCGGAGGCATAAAGATCATCTGCCAGTCGGAGATGCGGGACTTCTCGGCCATGGCCTTCATCACCGACCACGTCAACTCCCTCATCGATCAGTGGTTTCCCGGTGAGAGGGCGGGAGGCGGGGCTGCCTCCGTGGGCAAGCGGAAATCCCAGTGGGATTCAGCTCGCGCATCGGGGCCGAGGCCTCCAGGCTGTGCGCGGTGGGGGTGGGGAGAGACGGCACAGGGCCCCACACGTGGTCCAAGACAGCGCTCACGGGCAGCCTGCGTGGGTCTTGTTTACTCAGTGAGGACAGTGGCGGGGCCTGGGGAGCTGCCGAGGGAGACGGACCCCCTGTGCAGGGGCACGGAGGGAGGGGCGCCCCAGCTGCCCGCCCCCCCATCCCGGCGCGGATCAAACCACCCACGCGGCCTTCTCAGATCCTTCAGGTCACGCACAGTCTTCCTTGAGAGTTCGCCCAAAGAAAACACTTTTTGAAGTGAGGCTACTCAGAGAACTGTTTTGCTGCTGGGTTGGAGACGACCCCCAGCGCGGCCTGCAGGGAGGAGGCGGCAGGCAAGGGCGGACAGGCAGCTGTGCAGAGGAGGCCTCGCTGGTGGAGAGTGGGTTTGGGACCCCAGCCCAGCCCCTGCGGCCAGCCGCCTCCCCTGCACGCTCTCCTGCAACCCAGGGGAGCGCCAAGGACGGTGCTCAAGGAAGAGAGGTGGAACTCTCCCCACACACCAGGGCCTGGCTTCCCTTGGAGCTTGGGCCCTGCAGGGACCGGTAGGGAGGGGAAACCAAGGCTTAGAAAGGGCCCCTGGGATATTGCAGTCCAGTGTGTGTGTTGTGGCCATCTGGGGGCATCTGGCCATCCAGTGGGGGGTACATCGGACTCTTCTGAACACTTGTCTGGCGTCCCCCCAAGCCAAGGTCCCCAAACAGCAGGTGCGGGGGAGCTGGATAGGTGAGCCTGTTAGACAGCCGACTGAGACAGGAAGGACCTAGCTGAGCACCTCCAGACAGGGCCTGGCAGAGCCAGCAGCAGCAGCCAGCTGCCCAGAGCCCCCGCCAGCCCCTTCCACGTGGGCCTAAGATGTCAGGCGTGCCCCCCTCCTAACCTGCCAAAGCAGATGCTTGGCCGGCCAGCGGGCACCGCCGTGGGCAGCCCAGAGGGCGGGCATTCCTTTGCATCTCCCGGCAGAGGCGTGCAAGTCAAGTGCCTCCTGTCCAGGTCCCGTGTCCAGCAACTGGCTTTACCTGTCAGAATCGCTACCCGCTTCTCCCCTGCCCTTCCACAGGGCGTTGGAGTGGCTGCAGGCCTTTCGTTTCTGATCTTAAGAACGGTTCCTGATGCGTTGGCGGTGGTTGGGCTTTGGAGGGTAGCTCAGCCCCAGCCCACAGAGCCGTGCTAGGGCCCAGCCATGCAGGTGGGAGTGAGGACCACTCACCCAACTGCTGTCCCTCCTCGGCCACCGGGCGGCTCCCAGGGGCCTCCCGCCTCCTCCAGGCGCACGTTTTTGAGGACTGGTCACAGTCCCCAGAAAGCACCCGCGTGTGATGCTGTGTTCCATCCCCTTGGGCCCGGGTGTAGACAGACAGACCCCCGGCCGAGAGAGCCTGCCTGGCCCGAGGTGCCGGAGCCGCTGGGGGCCCTGCAGCTGCCTCACGCTGGGCCGTCTCCTGCTCTGGCCCCATTTAGCCCTGACGGCCACAGAAAGTGACGGGACCCCACTCATGGAGCAGTGTGTGCCCTGCCCGGTCTGTGCCACGTCCTGGGCCCAGCACCCAGACCCCAGCGAGCGGTCGGAGGGCGTGCAGTACTTCGACATGGAAGACTGCGTGCTGGCGGCCATCGAGCGGGACTTCATCGCCTGCCCCCGACACCCGGACGTCCCCGTGCCGCTGCAGGAGCTGGTCCCCGAGCTATTCATGACCGACTTCCCAGCCAGGTAGGCGCCGGCGGCCCCTCCCAGGACACAGGTGCCGGCCCTGGGCTGTGCAGGGGTGATCGCCCACCTTGGGGCCGAGCCACTGCTTCCCACCGAACCTCAGGGACTCCCAGGCAGCAGGGCAAGGCAGCCTGCGGGGGCCACTGACTTCCTGCTTTTGAGGCCCGAGAGGCCCCGCTGGGCAAAGCACTTGGCAGGGGACGCCGTGCTGGGCTCCTGCGCCTTCTTCCCCGCTCCCCAGCGAGAGCCTTCTTGCTAATGCGGCCCCAGCCTTCGGCTCCCACAGTCCCTGTCTACCCAGCGCGGCGTAGCAGCCCCTAAGGCCGAGCAGGACCGCCTGACTCCATTCTGAGAGTGGCCTGCGTCCACACCAGCCAGCAGGGAGATCTGAGAGTCTACGGGAGGGAACAGGAGATGTCTTCTGCCCTGTCATCCAGCAGGAAACGGCCACAGAGTCTCCCCGGGAAGACACTGTGGCTGACGAGAGCTGGGCTGATCCCCTGGGGACAGTGTGACGTCACTGGGTCCCAGCATTTTGGAGTCATAAAGTCCTGGTGTGTTGACTCATTCAGGGGAAGGCTGGGTGTCTGCTTTCTTTCAGGAAAATTACAATTTTTTTGTTTTGGTAAGAATATGAGGAGGCTTCAAAGAGTTGTTGGAAAATGGAATTAAAAGGCAAGTTTAGGGGTAGGCGATTGGCCTCGAGGTTGACGCCCATGTCCAACATCCGAGACCCTGGGTTCCATGCCTGGCTCCAGCTTCCCGCTCACGCACACCCTGGGAGGCAGCAGCGACGGCTCCAGCGCTTAGATCCCTGCCACCCGTGTGGGAGACCTGGATTGCGTCCCCGGCTCCCGGCTTTGGCCTGGCCCCGCCCCTGCTGTTGCAAGCATTGGAAGAGTGAACCAGGTGGTGGGAGCTCACTCTCTCTCTCTCTCTCTGTGTCCCTCAAATGTAAAACACATATATTATACATACTAATAGATTATACCAATTATATCTTGTGTATTAGCATATTACATGTTATATATTAATATATATTATTTGGTGCAAAATTTTTTTAATGCACACTAGGTGTCTTCAAATAGTTTGTAGAAAGTCTGTGCTGTGTGAAACTTTTGCATGGATTTCAAGAATTTTTTGTACCCACGTACTTGTCTTTTAATTCCATTTTCCTGCAAACAGCCTGACGTCCCCTTGTATCTGTTCTCATTTCCCCAAATGGCTCCAAGCGGGTGACCGCTGCCCCGTGCTGCAGCAGGACCGGGGCCCAGGAGGTGTGGGAGGTGGCTCCTGCACGGCTGCGTTCCTCCCGTGGTTCTTCACAGTTTCTCCAGAGGCTGCACTGGGGCGGACAGTGAACACCACTCCTGCAAAGCGCCTTGCCCTCCCTGCCGCGTCGCCAGCTTGAGGGTCCCCAGTGTGAGTGAACGAGGCAGCCCAGGTGCTCCCGAGGTGCTAGGTTGTCCTTTCTGAGCGGAGGCCTTGCTGCGCTGCCTGTCTCAGCCGGGAGGCCCCAGCTGAGCCTGGGCTGAGGGCTGTGCTGGTGGGACACGAAAGACCAGCTCTCGCCCTGCTTGGGTCGAGTCCCAGGCCAGGGCATAGTCTTGAAACGAAGTTACCTGGCAGAGAGTCGGCACCGCGGACCGGATCCCCAGCAGAGCATAGGTGCCAGGAGCCCACTAGGGTGCAGGCACCACACCCCCTGGCCCGGGGTTTGCTGGCAGAGCGCCGCCCTGTGGCTGCTACAAGTAGTGCACTTGCCAAGGCTGCAGGAGTCCTAGCAGGTGCCCCCAGGGCCTCGCCAAGCCCCTCCTCCCGGTTCCCCCTGCCCATCCAAGGTGGCCCAGCGCACCACGCTTCCCAAGCAGCTGGATTTGGTGGGCACTAGGGAAACAGCCCCAGCACACCCCCAAGGGCTGCAGTGAGCGTGGAGGGTGAAATCTACCAAGTCTGGAAGGCATGGGAACTGCTGCTTCTCTAGGGCTGGGGGTCCCGGGGGCCAGCAGGGCTCAACTGGAGGCTGCACCTGCCCCGGACTGGGAGGCACCCGGGCTGGGGTGCCGATGAGGAAGCCCAGGGGGCCCCGAAGCCTGGGGGCATCAGCCTGACTTGCCCCTTACCCTCTGCTCCCCTCCTCGCTCCCTCCCCCCTTCTTTGTTTCACACGGCACCCTTTCTCCTCACGGTTCTTCCAGAACCGGGAAGCAGGGTCAGAGTAGCGTGCTGAGGAGCCAGAGATCCGGGAAGGGGGGACACGAGGGCACCCACGGAGGCCTGAGCCCCACATGCCACTCGGGGCGCCCCCAAGGCTCTAATCCTGCCAAGGGTCTGCCTCTCTGATGCTTAGAGGCGCTGGACTGTCCTCTGGACCCCTGAGGCCTGGCTGCTTAGGTGAAGGCCTCCAGATCTGCAGAGAAGGCCAAGGTGACCCAGAGACACTGGCAGTATTTCCAAAGGCCCAGCAGAAATCTCGCCTTTATTTTTTTTTAAGATTTATTTATTTGTTTGTTTATTGGAGAGGCAAAATTATAGACAGAGAGAGGGAGACACAGAGGGAGAGGTCTTCCATCCGCTGGTTCACTCCCCAAATGGCCGCAACGGCCAGAGCTGGGCTGATCCAAAGCCAGGAGCCAGGAGCTTCCTCTGGGTCTCCCACGCGGGTGCAGGGGCCCAGCCACTTGGGCCATCTTCCACTGCTTTCCCAGGCCATAGCAGAGAGCTGGCTCGGAAGTGGAGCAGCCGGGATTCAGACCCGTGCCCCTCTGAGATGCCTGTGCCACAGGTGGAAGCTTAACCTACAGTGCTGGCTCCAGGAATCTCCCCTTTAGCTGGGATTAGAACCCAAACCAGCACGGGGGGCTCAGCCCCTGTGCCCGGGCGACATCTGTGGGGGCACTGCTTGGTGGTTCAGACTGTCTTTGCGTAATGAAGAGAAATGGGGAAACAGCCAAGCTCTGTGGTTTGTCTGATGGGTGCCTGCTCTCCAAGCCAAAATCCTTGTGAGGGAGACATCCCAAGGGCTCCTCATTCGACGCCACCCGGTAGAGGCTTCACCGGGGGCAGGTGTCACCTGCGTCTCAGAGGCCTCGCTGTCCTGAGCCCACTTGGTGGAGGAGGAGGCTAGGGGTTGGCAAGGCTGGGCACAGGTCTGTCCAAGCTCCCAGATGGCCTTGAGCCATGCATGCATCCGCCCCGTGGGGACCAGCGGCCCAGCCCGGGTTCCCTCCACCTCCCGGGGCTGGGTGGGCCTGGCCTGAGCCCGCGCTGTGTGTGCGGCAGGCTCTTCTTGGAGAACAGCGAGCTGGTGCACAGTGAGGACGAAGGCAGCACCCTGGGCCAAGGCGGCAGTGGCACCGTCATCTACCGGGCCCAGTACCAGGGCCAGCCCGTGGCCGTGAAGCGATTCCAGATCAAGAAGTTCAAAAACTTCGCCAACGCCCCAGCAGGTAACCGAGGCCCTGGCCCAGCGCCCTTGGAATGCAGACGCGTGCTTCCCCCGTCCCACCTCTGTATCACCTCGGGGCCACGCGTGCATGTGGGGCAGGGGAGGGGAGGTGGGTGGGTGGGGCCAGTGTGGACCCCAGGAAGCCCCTGCTGTTTGCCCAGTGCACTGGGAGACAGGCTGGAGGGCCAGGCCGAGCCTGGAACCTGTGCCTGGAAACTTCCCTGCTGTGTAGACGTGGAACTGTCCTTACCATTTCCATCTCGGTGCCAGCGCAGGCCTGGCGCACACCTGGCCTCGGGGGGCCCCGTACCTGCAGGACCCCTCGTAGTAGCCATTGCGGTGACAGGTAGGAGGGGAGGTGTCCCTGGAGCTCCTCCCACCCCTCACGCCCCAGAGGCAGGTGCTCCCTCTTCCCTTGGCACACACAGGCCCTGGGTCTCGTGGGGCTGAGGGACGCTCCCCACCTCGTGGCACCTGCCACCAACATGCCGTGGCCTTTTCCACGGCTGGAGCAGAAAGCCACATACCAGGTGATTTCTGAGAAGGAGCAAAGCGTCTGGCTCTCGGTTCTGGAGCTTTGGAAACCCCAGAGCGTGGTGCTGGCACCTGTGGGGCCCTCGTGCCATGGTGGAAGGAGACAGGGCAACCGAGCAGGAGAACCAGGGGCTAAGAAGGGGGCGGAACTTGCTGTCCTGACAGGCCCCTCATGACAGCTGCAGCAAGAGGCGGATCCCTGCCCTCACAGCCGTATCTCCTCCCTGAAGGCCCAGCCCCCAGCACTGTTGCCTTGGGGCTGAGGTTTCCAGTGCACGGATTTCAGACCTGGCTGCATGCGGGAGCCAGCCCGTGTGGGTGCGAGAGGCCTCCTGGCTCACTGCCTGGCACAGGGTGGTCGTCTTGGGGGTCATGAAGGTGGTCTATAGCCTTGGCACAAGATTCAGGACTGTGGGAAAATGTGAAGAAAACAGAGGGGAAAGGGAGACAGAATCGTCCTCGTCTGACAGGTGTGCGACTTCCGGGCAGATCTAAGGCTCTGACGACAGCTGTCAGCCAGGGAGAGCATCCGATGCGGCCAGAGGTAGCACAGCCCCGGGATTCGGCAGCCTTCCTGCACGGGGCAGGGGCCCTTGGAAGTTGTCCTGTGTTGTAGCAATGAAAGTCAGCCCCGTATCACCATCCGAATCCCAAAAGGTGTTTCGTGTGCGTAGCTTGACTGACTGTGAAATGAGAAAAGTCCAAGACCAAGAAAAGTCTGCAGTGGAAGACAAGGGAGGTGTTGTCATGACTGATAAATCCACCCGCATTAAGGCCAGGAGTGGGCCAGGCCTGGCAGCAGGTGTGTGGGGGCAGGTAGCTGGCCTCAGCAGAGAGCGTGTCTCAGGTTAGAAGGGCGCCGGGTGGAGATTTGGGTCTGACCGCGTATCACAGTCAAAAGTACTTAATGGGTTAAATGCCAACTTTAAAAAAAAAAAAGTTTACACTTGAAACGCAGCGGCCAGCACACCTGTGGACCTGGCGGTCCGTGCCTTCTGCTCGCCATGGTTGATGGTTTCCCTGCTGTCTGAGCCCCTGTGACCCCCACTACTGAAATGTCGCCTTGGCCGTGGGGAGGGCCAGCACACAGAGGACAGGCAGGGCCCAGCTGCGGCCTTTGTGTGCTGGATAGAGCCTGGTGGGCGTCGCCCTGACCCCTCCAGGCACTCGGCAGGCCCCTCACGTAGGGGCTGAATTTCAAGGGCGTTGGGGGAAGGTTCCGGTGTAGGACTGGAAGTGGCCCTCCTCTGCTTGCCACAGGTGGGGGCCACGGCCAGTTTTCTCTCTGGCTGACGAGGGGTGGTGGCAGTTTCCGCTAAGGACCAAGGTGACCAGCAGAGACGAAAGCCCCCACAAGCCTGATGGTGCCGAACCAGGAGCCGTGGGGGATGCCAGACGGAGCTCCTGCGCCGGGCTCTGGGCAGAATGAGATGCAAGGGGGACCCTCGGGTGGCAGCAGCTGGGTGCGAGGGCTGTGAGAGCCACGTCTGGGTGACAAGAGTGGGGACACCTGGCGCTCCCCCGCCTCCACCCCGAGGGCCGGCGGGTGCAGGAAGTGGGACTGCTGGAAGCGACAGGGCCACACTTAGCACTTGAGGAGGGGGGCACTTGATGCAACCCCACAGGGACGGCCTTTGGGGCCGCATTCCTGGTGCCGGCTTTGCATGCCCTGTGTTCCTTAAAAGCAAATCTTGCCCCAGCCCAGCCCCCAGGCTCCCAAGAGACAGGGTCCCCGACGCTCTGGGGTCCATCTGGCCAGGCCTCGGGCGCTCTGGACTCGGGGTGCCCGGCGGAGTGCTGACGGCCGTGCTGTGCCCTGGCAGACACCATGCTGAGGCACCTGCGCGCCATGGATGCCATGAAGAACTTCTCGGAGTTCCGGCAGGAAGCCAGCATGCTGCACGCCCTGCAGCACCCCTGCATCGTGTCGCTCATCGGCATCAGCATCCACCCGCTCTGCTTCGCGCTGGAGCTCGCCCCGCTGAGCAGCCTCAACACGCTGCTGTCGGAGAACGCCAGAGGTGCCGCCCCTGGGGCGCGGGGGGCGGGGCCGCCGCAGGTGCAGGCGTCGAGCCCACCCGTGCGTGGGGCAAGGCACCGACCAGCTCTAACCACGGAGGGGTCGCACTGGCAGGGCTGGAGGAGCGCAGGCGTGGAGACAGGGAGAACTGGGTCAGAAGTCACTTAACTGTCCGTCTGTAAGGTGGGGCTGGGACAGAGCACAGAAGGGGGATTGAGCAGTGCATGAAAAGGAGGTCTGGGTGGTGCAGGGAAGGGCGTGGCTTGGGGCAGCGTGGGCTGGCGGGAGCCGCCCACGGGATGGCCAGGGCTGTTGCACTGGGGGCTGTGCCGCTGCAGAACAGGCTGGGAGGCAGCGGGCAGGCAGCGAGGTGGGACTGACAAACCTCAGCTCCTCCTTGCCAACGCGGCCTCGCCTGACGTCAGTGGGACACAACATTTCTGGGGAGAGAGAGGAGGGAAGAATGGGAGACAGTTGCTGGAATGATGCTCTTCCCAAAATATTGATAACGTAGGAAACCATTCCTCTACTTCTGTGCCAGACTCTTCCTTCATGCCCCTCGGACACATGCTCACCCAGAAAATAGCCTACCAGATCGCCTCCGGCCTGGCCTACCTGCACAAGAAGAACATCATCTTCTGCGACCTCAAGTCGGACAACATCCTGGTGTGGTCCCTGGACGTCAAGGAGCACGTCAACATCAAGCTGTCCGACTACGGCATCTCGCGCCAGTCCTTCCACGAGGGCGCCCTGGGCGTGGAGGGCACCCCCGGCTACCAGGCCCCAGAGATCAGGCCTCGCATCGTGTACGACGAGAAGGTACCCGCCTGCCCGGGCCAGCCCCCCGTGCGGGGGCCCGGGGCCTGTCCGGGGCCAGCCAGGCAGTCCCGATGGCACCTGCAGCTCCTGGCTCAGTATGCCCCCAGCCCCTACTCCCTCTCCCACACTCAGGGAGGGAGGCGCTGGCTCCAACCTGAAAGGCTCAGGGCCCCGTGTCCAACTGCCTGTGACGAGGTGGACTTCTCCTTAGCTTCCGAGTTTTCACGCCTTGATGCACAGACAGCGGAGAGGCTGCCGACAGGTCACCAAGAGTCCAGGACAGAAGTGGGTCTCGATTGGGTCCCGACTCACAGTCTGATGTGCAAAGTGGGGACAGAGGACCAGCCCACAGGCGGTGGCCAAATCCAGTGCCCAGCCAGATCAGACTGGATTCCGGCAGGACGGCCGTGGCCTCCCCAGGCCACGGCTCAGGGGCCACCTTCTACCCTGAGGGCTGCTTGGTGGATGCAGACACAGGACTCATCCCACCGAGTGTCCACTGTTGCATCTCGTGCCAGCCTGGTGGTGAATCGCCCAGAGGGGAAGTTCCCCTGGTCTGTAATTCCTTGCTCTTAGGTGATGTTCGGGTGGGCCATTGGCTAGTGGCTTTAAGAAGAGCCTCACGGTGGGTGGGTCACCTCGGCACCTGTGGCATTAAGGCCAAGTCAGAGCAACGAAGGCGGGAGCCGCTCGGCAGCAGGTGACTCAGGCAAGGCGTTCACCTGGAGGCTGAGATGATCTAGAGGGACCGTCGCTGTGGCATCGTGGGTTACAGCCCTGGCCTGCAGTGCCGGCATCCCATATGGGCTCCGGTTCGAGTCCTGGCTGCTCCTCTTCTGATCCAGCTCTCTGCTGTGGCCTGGGAAGGCAGTGGAGGATGGCCCAAGTCCTGGGGGCCCTGCACTTATGTGGAAGACCTGGAGGAAGCTCCTGCCCTCAGGTTGGCGCAGCTCCAGCCATTGTGGCCGCTTGGGGAGTGACCCAGTAGATGAAAGACCTCTCTCTCCCCAACTCTTTCAAAATGAATAAAATAAATCTTAAAAAAAAAAAAAAAAAAAAGAGGATCCTGGAGCAGTGGGATCAGTGTAGCAGTTCAGTGCAGCCATACCAGAGTGCAGAGGTGCAAGTCCCAGCTCCACTCCTGATCCAGCTTCCTGCTAACGTCCAAGTGAGGCATCAGGTGCTGGCTCAAATGCTTGGGCCCCCACCACCCACGTGGGAGCCCCAGATGAAGTCCCTGGCTCCTGGCTCCTGGCTCCTGACTTCTGCCTGGCTCCTAAAGGCATTTGGGGAGTGAACCAGCTCTCTCTGTCTCATTGCCTTTCAAATCAATAGAATGCGTTTAAAAAAATCTTTTTAAAGCTTTTAAGATTGTAATAGGAACATTCACATTAAGAATTCTCAGGTGTTTCCCGGCCACTATCCTACTGGAAAGTTACTTCTTGACCCTTAAAGAGGCCTAGTACAATCTCCCTGGGGCTCTCATATCTTTGTGATGGCTAAAGTTAGGGCAGACAACACCACAATGCAGGAGACCCCCGTTCTTATGAGCTGCAGACACGGCTCCCCTAGCACCGAGCCTGCTACGCTGAGGGTCTGTGTTCTGATACGCATGGGTGAGGACCACAGTGTCCTTGCAGCCCTCAGTCAGTGACTGACAGCAAGGCCTCGGTGTGTGTTTATTGGATGGATGGACGGGCGGACGGGCGGACGGATGGACAAAGAGAAAGAAGGAGGGGGAAAAGGGTGGACAAGTGGACAGGACAGGTGGTGAGGTGGTTGGCTGAGGGGTTGGACAGAGAGGGGTGGATGACTGGGGTATGTACTGAAGATGCTGTCCCTCTGGGCAGGATCCGTGTTGACCTGGTCTAATTGCGTCTCCCGCCTCTCCCCACCCCAGAGCCAGCTTGTGGAAGCCGCTGGGCCCGGGGACCTGACGTGGTTACCTCTCTGCCCAGGTAGACATGTTCTCCTACGGCATGGTGCTGTACGAGCTGCTGTCCGGACAGCGCCCCGCACTGGGCCACCACCAGCTCCAGATCGCCAAGAAGCTGTCCAAGGGCATCCGCCCAGTGCTGGGGCAGCCCGAGGAAGTCCAGTTCCACCGGCTGCAGGCGCTCATGATGGAATGCTGGGACACGAAGCCTGAGAAGGTAGCCGGGGCGCTGGGGGGCGGAAGGTCCTGCCTGCCCCCCTTTGCCGGGGACAGCCGGGCTACCCCTGCTTGTCACTCCTCCTGCAGGGAGACGCCGACTGCCCCAGTGCGTCCGCTCTCGTCTTTGTGGGTGTGTCCGTCTCTGGAAGAATGAGCTTCCTCCCCTTTCCTGCCCAGTCTTTGGTTCTTTTCCTCACGCACACAAAGTGTGGTGACCCCAGCCAGCCCCTGAGTCCCTGCGCAAGGGCCCGGGAAGGAAGTGTCCCTCTGCGAAGGGACACTCTGGGGAGCAGCAGGCTCAGACCACTGAGTGGGAGCCGGGTTTCCTTCTCGGCTGCCTGTTTGTGTCTGGAGGACGCCGATAGTTTCAGGGTTACAACTTGTTCATTAAATCAGAGCTGGCTTGAGGGGCTGGCGGCAGACGTCTTCCCAGGGAGGTACGGCCTTGGCCATGGACATCTGACCACTGAGGTCGAGTCGGCATGGCCGACGGTGACCTGAGTCCCTGATGTGTTTGTCTCTGGAATCCAGCATTTGGTCCCGTCCTGCTGGAGACAGCGATCTCATGGGCTGAGTCAGCGCTGACGTGGCCACCGTGGCCTTGCTCATGCCCCTGTGGCCTCTCCCCCTCAGCGACCGCTGGCCGTGTCGGTGGTGAGCCAGATGAAGGACCCCACGTTCGCCACGTTCATGTACATGCTGCCTTGCGGGAAGCAGTCGGCCTTCTTCTCATCCCAGGGCCAGGAGTACACCGTGGTGTTCTGGGACGGGACCGAGGAGTCCAGGTAACCCCGGCCCACCCGCGCCCCTGGGCAGAGAGAGGGACACAGGCCCAAGGGTGCCTACGCCACGTTGTTCGGTGAACGCTGGGGGCCAAAGCCTGGTCTGCATCCACGCAGGAGAGAGGGAGGGAGAAAAGCGAGTCCACATGTGCAGGCGTGCAGCGTGCGTGGCTCTGTGGGTGCAAGAAGCAGAGGGACGGGTGTTTGGCCCAGGGGCTAAGATGCAGGTTAGGGCGCCCGTGTCCCACGTCAGAGGGCCGGAGTCCAGTCCCCAGCTTCCTGCTGATGCAGACCCCAGGAGGCTGCAGGTGCCGGCTTCCTGCCACCCATGTGGGAGACCTGGATTGAGTTCCTGGTCCCAGTTCTGGCCTCAGCCCAGCCTCAGCCATCGTTAGGGTACTTGGGGAGTGAACCAGTGGATGGGAGTATGGCTTGCTTGTTCTCCCTCTCCCTCTCCCTCTCCCTCTCCCTCTCCCTCTCCCTCTCCCTCTCCCTCTCCCTCTCCCTCTCCCTCTCCCTCTCCCTCTCCCTCCCCTCCCCCCTCCCCTCTCCCTTCCCTCCCCCTCCCTCTCCTTCTCCCCCCACCCCGTCACAAATAGAAAAGGAAACAGAAGAAGCCAGCAAGGGGGTGGGACTTCCAAGGGCGTCGGAGGAGCCCGGGTGTGTTAAAGATGAAGGGGGGGGGGGGGGGGGGTCCTTGGAGTTACTTTCCCGTGCTGGGGGGGGGGGGGGCCAGAAGCAGGAATGGTGTCCCCTGAAAGAAGGTTTGTGGGCAGCGCCTGCTATTGGAGTCAGTTTGTCCCAGGGAAGTGGAAGGGAGCGGGGAGGGTGGGAGAGGGCGTGGATATTCAGGGAGAGAAGCGGAGACGCCCAGCGCAGGGAGGGCCCGGGTGTCCGCAGGGCAGCAGCGCAGCCGCCCCGGGCTGCAGGCTGTGCATGGGCAGAGAGGCCGTCAGTCTGGCTCTGCCTCTTGGCTGCGGCGTGTCCTGCCACCCCAGCCCACTCCCCAGCGAGGGGGAGACAACAGGTGGCTTTAGGAGAGAGGGGGGGCCGTTGCGCATTAGCAGGGATCTGGATCAGAATCAGAGCAGCCAGGACTCCGAGTGGCCCTTGGATACGCCATGCCAGCATCCCAGGCAGCACAACGCCAGCCCCCTAGTTCCACTTCCGGTTCCAGCTTCCTGCTAGCGCACAGCGAGGGCTGGAGATGGCTCAGGAAGCTGGCTCCCTGCCGCCCCCTGGGAGACCTGGGTGGGGTCAGGCTCCCGGCTCCAGCTGGGCCCAGCTCTGCTTATCGCAGGCATGTAGAGAGTGAACCAGCAAACGGAAGATCTCTGTCTCCAAGCCTCTCTCCCTCTCCCCCCTCCCCCTCTCTCCCTCTCTCCCTCTTTCCACCCCTCCACCTCTATCTCTGATTATCTTTCAAATAAAGAAATATTTTGAGAACCCCGTGGAGGTTAGGGTATGAGGAGAAGTGAGTGGGAAGCGTGCCAGGTGGTGGTAGCAGATCCGTCACACGGAGTAGGTGGGCACTTAGTAGCAAAGACAGGGCCTGGGGTGTGATGAGCGGGTGGCTGGGGCAGCGTGGGGGACAAGCACTGAGGACAAGCAGGTGGTCCCGGGAGAGGCCGGGGTGTTGGAAAGATGGCGGCAGAGCCTGAAGTCCCACAAGGTCACCACCTTGGTCGCACCTGCAGCCTGCCCTCTCCCGCACGCCGGGAGTGATGGCTCACAGGCACGTGAGCATCTTAGGGCACCGCTCGTCTCCACACAGCCCTAATGGCCTACGTTGGCAGGTGCCAATCCGATACGGCTCCGCCGAAGCAACCTGCAGGCACAGTGAGGTCGGTGGAAGGGACTAGACTTGGCCGTCTCCCTCCGGTCCGACTTGGGGAGATCTGTGTTGGATTTGGTGCCGCGGGCACTGTGGGTTCTGTCTCGGGCTCGCTGTAAGGAACAAAGCCCCGCGGAAAGAAGCCCCACAAAGTACAGCCACATGGTGCCCCCTGAGGTGGTTCCAGGACCCCCTGAGGATGCCAGAATGTGCAGACGCCCAGGTCCTGGATGGAAAATGCCAGGACCCGGGCCCCTCCTGCTGGACATGTTAACTCCTCTCTAGACGACTCAGCGTGCCGGACACAGCGCCACTGCTGTGTCCATAGTTGTGCCGCATTGTTCGGGGAGCGATGACAAGAAATGAAAGCCTGGACGTGTTCAGTACAGATGCAGTTTTTCAAAAATAATCTCGACCCCCACTGGGTTGAATACGTGTGGGTAGGACTGCGTCCCTGGCTGCTGGTTCGAAGCCACCTGTGCGGAGAAGGTGAGAGACACAGCTGCAGACAGGACTGGCCCTCACCCTAGAGCACTCGTGCCCCTTGGTGGGTAGGGGCGGTGCCCTGATCGAATGTACCCATGGGGGGAGTCTGGGCAGGGTTCAGTGCACGTGACGCCCTCTGGAAGGTGTCCGTGGTGCATGCAGCTCGGTGCATACGTGATCTCACGCTGTCTCCTCCATGCTGAGGGAGACAGGTGCATCGTGGGAAAGCAGGAGTGCAAGGGGGCGGAGTTAGAGTGCAGGGCTAGAGAGAGAAGCTGCAGGGAACCATCCATCCCACACCGCCTGGACACACCCTCCGGGGCACCTGCTGGGGGTGACATGGAAAGCAGAGCCTTCGCAGCAAGCACACACTTGGCCGCTGCCTCGCTATTGTTACGTGAGATTCTGCCGTGGCTGTGGGGTGAAGTCTATGAGCGATCACGACGCTGACGTTGGAAGCCATGGTTTTCAGCCTGGGCTACAGTGAAAGAGATGCAAAGCAGAAGCAAAGCCCTGTGGTGCTGAATCAAAAGCAGATGGACTTTGAGGACACGAAACGCCTGCCTCCTAGCCCTGCCCACCGCAGAGCCCTAGAAACCAGGGTCAGCCCAGCACCAGTATGCACCCCAGGAGCCAGAGGGTGGGAGTCGGGGCTCAGCCCAGAAACAGCTGACCCCAGGGGTGGGGCAGGACGGGGGCGGGAACATCCGACACACGCAGAACATAGGACACAGAGCATCTGACATACGGAACACATGACACACAGAACATGTAACACGGAACATCTCACATGCAGACCATCTAACACAGACCATGTAACACAGCACACCTGACACGCAGAGAACATCTGACATACAGAAACATCCAACACAAAGAACATTTGTACGTAGAACACATGGCATGCAGAACATATGACATGCAGAATATATGACATGCAGAACATATGATGTGCAGAACATATGGCCCAAAACATCTGACACATAGAACATGTGACACACAGAATGTGTGACACATAGAACGTGTGACACACAGAACGTGTGACACACCCATCAGACTTCTGAGGGGCGTTGGAAGAGGTTGGGAGCCGGCCTGCTCCTGCACATACTGATGGGCCCTGCTGCACCCACCTGGGGAGACTTTCTTTATCTTTTCAGTATTTTTTTTTTGACAATCAGAGTGGACAGTGAGAGAAAGAGACAGAGAGAAAGGTCTTCCTTTGCCGTTGGTTCACCCCCCAATGGCCGCTGTGGCCTGCGCACCACACCGATCAGGAGCCAGGTGCCTCTCCTGGTCTCCCATGCAGGTGCAGGGCCCAAGGACCTGGGCCACAGCAGAGAGCTGGACTGCAAGAGGAGCAACCGGGACAGAATCCGGCACCCCGACCGGGACTAGAACCCAGGATGCCGGCGCCACAGGCGGAGGATTAGCCTAGTGAGCCGCGGCACTGGCCCTTTTCAGTATTTTTTTATGAAAACAGAGAGAGAGGGAGAGGTATGTCTCCCAGTTGATGGTTTACTTCCCAAATGCCTGCGACAGCCAGGGCTGAAAACCAAAGTCAGGGCCTGCACCAGGGCTCACTAGGCTAATCCTCCACCTGCGGCGCCGGCACACCGGGTTCTAGTCCTAGTTGCCGCTCTTCCAGTCCAGCTCTCTGCTGTGGCCCAGGAGTGCAGTGGAGGATGGAAGATGGTCACTCCTGTAACCAGAACTCAATCCAGGTCTCCCACACAGGGAGCCAAGTAGTTAAACCACCACTGCTGCCTCCCAGGGCACATACGGCAGCTGGACCGGCAGGGTAGCCAGGACTTGAACTGCCCGGCCCTGCTGGGGAGTGTGGAAGAAGCTTGGGGCACACTTGTACAGTGGTGAAGATGCTGCTCCGGGCGCCTACACCCCACATTGAGTGCCTGGGCCTCAGCCCCAGCTCTGCCTCTGACCCAGATTCCTGCTAACGTGCACCCAGGCGGTGGCTCAAGTCCTCGGGTCCCTGCCACCCACGTGGGGAAACCAGACTGAGTCCCATGCTCCTGGCTTTGGTTTTCTCTTCCTTTCTCCCTCCCTCCCTCCCTTCCTTCCACAGGCAGAGTGGACAGTGAGAGAGAGAGTCAGAGAGAAAGGTCTTCCTTCCATTGGTTCACCCTCCAATGGCCGCTGTGGCCGGTGCACCACGCCGATCCAAAGCCAGGAGCCAGGTGCTTCTCCTGGTCTCCCATGCGGGTGCAGGGCCCAAGGACCCTCCTTGGATGGTCACCTCAGGTAGTGGTGGTTTATCTACTTGGCTCCCTGTTACCCGTGTGGGAAACCTGGATTGAGTTCTGGTTACAGGAGTGACTCAGCGAATGAGGGAATCCCTGACTGTCTGTCTGTCTGACTGTCTGTATGTATCTCTATTTCTTTGCTTTTAAAATAAAGAAAAAGTATTAAAAAAAATACCCCCAGCAGCCTGAAGAAGGGCAAGCTCATGGGGAGGGAGGGGTGTTCCGGCCAGAGCACAGGGGCAGGGACGTGGAGGAAGAGGAGGGGGCAGACCAGATGCACCTGAGTCGGGGGCGGGGGTGGGTGTGGGTGGGGAAGACAGGCAGAGGAACGGGATGTGCAGGGGCCAGAACTCCGCCTAGAGAGCAGAGGACTGCTTTACTTTATGTCTTTCTATCTTTTTAATGTTTTTCAAAGGCAGCGCTGCTTAGAAAATCCTGGTTGTTTCCTCGGTGCGCAGGGGCGAGCCTGCAAGAGTAGACAGGGAGCACTTTGAAGAGCGCGTCCTTTGCTGGGAGCGCACTGTGTGTAGTCGCTCAGTGGTCCGTGAGGACAGAGGTTCCAGCCTCTGATGACGGCAGCGGGAGTGCGGCAGCGAGAAGCCTCTCCACCCGCTTAGCTTAGTCTCGTGGGCTGGGAAAGACCTGTGCAGTCCGGGGTGCCGTGGCCAGCCCCTCCTGCTGTAGGCCGCGGCACAGCCACCGGGAGGTGCAGTGGGGCAGCCGGGCCTGGGGAGCAGCGGGAGGGCCGTGAGTGGTCTCCTGGGAGGAGTGTCCTTCCCACAGGGGCTCCTGTCCCACCACAGCTGTCACAGAGAGAGAGAGCCGAGTGTTCCCCTGGGCTGCCCTTTCTCTGCCTACAGTGTCACCCGGCAGACGGGACACTTGGCCGCCCAGTGCCGGTCCTGGATTCTCTCGGGGATGAAGGAGGCTGCAGCCGTGCCTCCTCCGGGGCTGTGAGGCCACAGCGGGGGGTGGGGGCGGCCCTGGCCCCCAGGGAACTGAGCCTCCGTTGCCCATCCTAGGAACTACACGGTGGTAAACACGGAGAAGGGCCTCCTGGAGGTACAGAGGATGCGCTGCGCAGGGCTGAGGCTGAGCTGTCAGCTGAAGGTGCAGAGCTCGCTATGGACGGCCACTGAGGTACCCGCCTGTCGGGGGTCCGCACAGCGGCAGCCCCCGGGGCCGGGGCGGGCGGGCGGGTGGGGGTGGGGGGACACCCAGGCCAGCTCAACTTTCCCATACACCCCAGCCTATCCCGGGGAGGTGCCCGGAGCAAGGCCCTCGGCACGTGAGGTAGTGGTGTGTCACCAGCGGCCCCTGCTCCTGCCCGCGCTGGCCCGCAGCCTGGATTCGGGCACTCAGCCGGAGGGAAGCCCTGAAGGCCGTGATGGGCCTGAGCTTCCTGGAGCGCCGGGGTCTGCACAGCAAGCCCACCCTGCGCTGTCCACCCCGGGACAGTTCCCGCGAGGCCCCAGGAGCCGGGCTCTGAGGAAGGCAGACAGGACGACCCCGAAACAGATGCTCTGAAACTCCGGGTAGGGGGTGGGCTGCTGGACCCCTGCTGGGCCCCTGCAGGACGGCAGCATGGTAGGGTAGCACTGGTCCGCGTCAGAAATCTCCCAGATGCTCAGCCCCTCGGCCTCTGCAGTCTCTGGGTTCAGAGTGTATTCGAAGTAGGGGACAGCACCCCACACTCGGGCACGCACAGGTCTGCCGGGTGCACCCCCCACTGACGTGCAGGGAAGGCAAGAGGCAGGCGGATGCGCCGTGGAGCGCCAGGCTCAGGTACAGCTGCGTCCTGGTTGAGCCAGTCCACCTCATGCCCTCGGGGGCCTGGTGTGAGAAGCACAGGGAGGGGTGACCCCCTCTGTCCACACCACACAAGCAAGTGCCCGCGGTAAACGCCAGAGCAGTTCTCTCTGGGGATGAGCAATGGGATGTTGTGTTTTTCTTCTTTGGAGTCTTCTGTGTTTCGAGAACTTTCTCCAAAGAATGGAACTATTCGTACCACCAACCAGGAAGCCTCGATGCTTGTTACTCTTCAAGGTGCAAAAAGGGTCCCCCCAAGTGAGCATGCCCCCCTAGGGAACGCCAGCTGCTTCCTGCCCGGGGCTCACAGGGCCTGTCTGCCTCCCAGGACCAGAAAATCTACATCTACAGCCTCAAGGGTATGTGCCCCTTAAGCGCACCCCAGCAAGCCTTGGACACCCCAGCTGTCGTCACCTGCTTGCTGGCGGTACCTGTCATTAAAAAGGTGAGGAGGTAAGGGGGAGGTGGGCATGCAGTCTGTGACCCCCACCCCTGCTCGGGTGGTGTGGGCTGGGGGAGGCAGATCCGCCTGGCGGCAGTGACCCTGCAGGGGCCGGGGCCCTCCCCAGTGTCTGCTGGTACACATAGTCAGCTTGGCACAGCAGTGCCTCCGCCTCTCACAGGTGAAATGCTTGTAGGTGCAGAAGGTGCAAGAGCGCAGTGTGTGTGTGTGTGTGTGTGCATGTGCGTGCCCTGCCCCTTCTGGCCGCTGTGGCCTCTGGAGGCTCATCCCACCTGCCTGGGCCAGAGCCTCCCCTAGGGCACTCGGTCACCAGGTCCTGGCAGGTCCCGCTCCCAACCCCTGTGGGCAGCCGACTGCCCCCTGTGCCTCAGCCTGCTCTCCAGTGCCCACTGTGGGCCCCAGACCCTGGTCCTGGCGTGCTCTCGTTCATCTCCCAGCCCTGGCCCAGGGCTGCGCTCCCCAGCCCCGCCAGCTCCGCCACACCTCAGGGATCAGACCAGACGGGCAGGGCGGTCCCTCCCCAACTCCTGCCGCTGTCCACGCCGTGGCACCATGCCCATCTAGGCTCTCGTTCCAGAAGCAGCCCCCACATACACCCCTCCTCCATGACTGTCATCATCCAATGCCAGTTTGCACCTCTGCAAAATGGGCATGATCAGAACGAACCCCGGGGCCTAGCATAGCCAGCGCCGGAGGCCGGTGCTCTGGGGAGTGGGAGCGTTGTTATGACTTGCTGACAGCTGCAGAATAGATGAGCGCTGCCCTCCAGCCGGCTCCAGTTTCAGTTCTTAAAAAAAAAAAAAAAAAACAGGTCTGAAATGAACCTTAGAGAACGCGGGAGAGCAGGGCACAAGGCAGCATTGAAGGCCGTGGCGGGCCAGAGCCCCCAGCCAGCGCGCCTCCTCCTGCACCACCGGGGGGAATAAAGCCGGGTCTGTGCGAGCTTCCCTCGCGGTGCTGCCCCCTTGGAGGCCCTCCTGCCCGTGGCCACGCAGTGCAGACCCCTGCATTCTTGCACGCACACGCCCACGCCCACGCCCAGCCAGGACCTGGCCCGAGCAGGGACTCCAGATCGAGGCTCGGCCCCTGTTTGCCTTGGCTGCCTCCTTTCCCTAAAGTCCTGGGTGTGGATTCCGATGCTTTCCCAGGGCTCCTCGCCCCGGCTGCCGAGCGAGAGGTCGGTCGCCCAGCCTGCCCAGGCCCCCCGACTGCCCCTCGCTGGCACAAGGCCAGGATCCTTGCTCCGTCCTGACTCCAGCTCTGTTCTGGGGAGCTCCTCCTGCCCCCAGCGAGCCTGCCTCTGGCGTGTAAGGCTGTGCATTCAGCCCTGCGCCTGCAGCTTTGACCTCTGCCCATGACCTCCGAGGGCTGTGGCAGAGGCTGTACTTCATCGCAGGGGTGGGAGGCACCCAAGGGCCCTGCCAGTGAGATCAGGGATCTCGTTGGCTGGGAGGGTGGGCACAGCGGGCCGACATGTGCCCCCGGGAGAGGGTTGAGTTGGGAGAATTGGTTCACCAAACACGTGTTGTCCACTTGAAACAGGAACCATGTGGTGTCCCAGGACCACAGAGATGACTAGGACTTAGCTCATCCCCGTGCCCAGCCAGAGCAGGGGAGCCAGACGTGGTCTCGTGGAACCCTCCTCCTGGTGGGGGCAGGAGGCAGGGAGCCGACCCCGCGCTGCCTACAGCTGCTGTCACATTAACAAGCAGCACCCACGGAAGGAGGGTGCGTGGCCCCAGGCGTTAGCCAGCCCCCTGCTGCAGGGGCCGGAGGTGCAGTCCAGTTGACAGCGCCTTTCCCGGAGCCGCGGACCTGCACCTCCATACACAGAAGGGAGGCGAGAGAGCTGTGGCGGGAGCCCCGGCCTCTCCAAGCGCTGGCCGCTCGGGGTGCGGGCGTGTGGGGTGCAGGAGCTTGACGCATCCCCGTCTCCTCCTGCAGAATTCCTTCCTGGTGCTGGCAGGCCTGGCCGACGGGCTCGTGGCGGTGTTCCCCGTGGTGCGGGGCGCCCCCAGCGACAGCTGCTCCTACCTGTGCTCGCACACCGCCAACAGGTCCAAGTTCGGCATCGCGGACGAAGACGCACGGCAGAACCCCTACCCGGTGAGGGCCATGGAGGTGGTCAACAGCGGGTCCGAGGTCTGGTACAGCAATGGGCCAGGCCTGCTGGTTATCGACTGTGCCGCCCTGGACATCCGCAGGCGGCTGGAGCCCTACACGGCCCCCTCGGCCGTCACCGCGGTCGTGTGCAGCTCCGAGTGCAGGGGCGAGGAGGTCGTCTGGTGCCTGGATGACAGGGCCAACTCCTTGGTGATGTACCACGCGGCCACCTACCAGCTGTGCGCCCGCTACTTCTGCGGGGACCCCAGCCCCCTCAGGGACACGTTTCCTGTGCGGCCCTTGGGCCCGGAACCCCCAGACACCCACAGCGCTGCCCCGAAAGAGCCCGAGGGGGACTGCATCGCAGACGTGAGCATCATGTACAGCGAGGAGCTGGGCACGCAGATCCTCACGCACCAGGACTCGCTCACCGACTACTGCTCCCTGTCCTACTCCTCGTCCCCGGCCCACCGGCCCGCCAGGTCCCCCTGCAGCCTGCCCAGCTCCCCGGCCAGCTGCTCCAGCGTGCCTTTCTCCACTGACTGCGAGGACCCAGACAGGCTGCAGGAGCCCAGCGCCACGCCCGACAGGGCTGAGCTGCAGCTGACCCCCATGGACGGGGACGCGTTCAGCCAGCACCTGCAGGCCGTGAAGGTCCTGGCTGTGAGGGACCTCATTTGGGTGCCCAGGTAGGTTTCCTGGGCCTGCCTCTGGGGACTGGGCCGGGGAGCCCTGCGGCTTCCCTAAAGATGCGCGGAGACCCGACGGGGCTGTGCTAACACACGTGCTTGACGCCTTGACTGTGGCATCTGTTGGGCAAACCTAAGAGCGGCCGTGCTGTCTACGCTCAGCTGCCCGCCGGCCGGCTTGAGGCCACAGTCGGTAGTCAGCTGTGATTAGGTTTGCACCTGGGAACGTTCTGGCTGCCCAGGGCCCGCCCGCCCCGGTAACCTGATCCTGGAGCAGAAACTGTGCCTTTCTCTGTGGGGCTCCGTTCCCTGCAGGACAAAACGCTCTCCCTTCTCTCTGGTTCCCAGGCGCGGCGGCGATGTTATCGTCATCGGCCTGGAGAAGGACGCAGGCGCCCAGCGGGGCCGAGTCATCGCCGTCCTAAAAGCCCGAGAGCTGACTCCGCACGGGTGAGACGGGGCGAGCGGCTCCCAGGGGACCCAGGGGGCGGCACGGGGAAGCCAGGGCCCCAGCACCAGGTCCCACGCGTGGCCCCTGGCCCTGCTGTCCTCTGTTCCCACATCCACCAGCGTGGCCATCAGGCTAAGCAGGAACAAGCCGGGCTCCTCCAGCTGCTGCTAGGGTCTCAGTGAATACCCGCTGACCTGGGCGTCACACTGTGCAGGGCTGCCTGTTTCTGGGGTACCCAGTGACCTGTAGACCAAGTGCCCGATCTGGGGTACCTCTGCAGGGCCAGATGGAAATAGGGGCCCCCGAGGCGGTTTCCTCTCACGCTTGCTAAGTGGGGAGCCACGCCCAGGCTGTAGCAAGTGGGGCCGTCTCCAGGCAGGGGTGCAGTTGGGACGTGGACAGGCCAGCCTGTCTAGGAGACAGCCTGCGACGCCGGCGCCCGACTGCTCTTCCTGGCGGTGTGTAGCGCTTTGTGTTGAGCAGCAAGCACCGTGTGGGAAATCTTCCTTATGAAAAGCCCTTCAATTTAAACACACACGTGCACAAATATGTGTGAGTGCATGTACATGAGTGTGTAAGTGTGTGTGCATGTATGAGTGTGCTGGGTATGTGTATATGTGTGCATGAGTGTGTGTGTATGTGCAGGAGTGTGTGTGTGTGCAGGAGTGTGTGTGGCAGGAGTGTGTGTGTGCAGGAGTGTGTATGTGTGCAGGAGTGTGTGCAGGAGTGTGTATGTGTGCAGGAGTGTGTGCAGGAGTGTGTGTGTGTAGGAGTGTGTGTGTGCAGGAGTGTATGTGTGCATGTGTGTGTGCAGAAGTGTATGTGTGCATGTGTGTGTGCAGAAGTGTGTGTGTGCATGAATGTGTATGTGTGTGCAGGAGTGTGTATGTGCATGAATGTGTATGTGTGTGCAGGAGTGTGTGTGTGGCAGGAGTGTGTGTGTGCAGGAGTGTGTGTGCATGTGTGTGTGTTCAGAAGTGTGTGTCTGTGCAGGAGTGTGTGTGCAGGAGTGTGTATGTGCATGTGTGTGTGTGTAGGAGTGTGTGTGTGCAGGAGTGTGTGTGTGAGAGTGTGTGTGGCAGGAGTGTGTATGTGCATGTGTGTGTGCAGGAGTGTGTATGTGCATGAATGTGTATGTGTGTGCAGGAGTGTGTGTGTGGCAGGAGTGTGTATGTGCATGTGTGTGTGTTCAGGAGTGTGTGTCTGTGCAGGAGTGTGTGTGCAGGAGTGTGTGTGTGCATGTGTGTGTGCAGGAGTGTGTATGTGCAGGAGTGTGTATGTGCAGGAGTGTGTATGTGCATGAATGTGTATGTGTGTGCAGGAGTGTGTGTGTGGCAGGAGTGTGTGTGTGCAGGAGTGTGTGTGCATGTGTGTGTGTTCAGAAGTGTGTGTCTGTGCAGGAGTGTGTATGTGCATGTGTGTGTGTGCAGGAGTGTGTGTTCAGAAGTGTGTGTGCAGGAGTGTGTGTGCAGGAGTGTGTATGTGCATGTGTGTGTGTGCAGGAGTGTGTGTGCAGGAGTGTGTGTGTGTGCAGGAGTGTGTGTGCAGGAGTGTGTGTGCAGGAGTGTGTGTGCAGGAGTGTGTGTGTGTGCAGGAGTGTGTGTGCAGGAGTGTGTGTGCAGGAGTGAGTGTGTGTGGCAGGAGTGTGTGTGTGCAGGAGTGTGTGTGTGTGTGTGTGCATTCATGCACGTGTGTATGTGTGCTTTGCAGCACCTACGCCTCACACTGGGCTGTGCAGTCGGACCATCCATCCACGGCCAGGTGGGTGTGACATCGTCCGGAGCATCAGGGGACAGAGACGCCCATCTGGCCTGCATGTCCCAAAGCAGGATGATGGGCAGGGCGTCCTTGGCCACTCCACTCCCGTGCCCACCCGCGTTGAGCTTTCTCAGGCTGAGGCAGTGACCCTTGCACTGTGAGTGGCTCTAGAAACAAAATCTGGGTTTGCTCTGAGCCCCGGATGTCTCTGGACGGCCTTGAACTCGCGGGTCAGACTTCTCCGAGCAGGTGGTCTGCAGACCAGGTCGGCTGGCCTTGGTGTGCCTGCGGTTTTCACCTATCCACTCCCAAAGCCAGGTTCTATCAAGAGCCAGGCACGCTCACTGGAGTGAGAGAGCCGCAAGCGGCCAGCTGCCAGGACAGTCCTGGCAAAGCCGCGGGGAAGCCGGAGGCCTCCAGACACGCTGGTTAACAGGAGAGTCTCGGCCGGGCAGGAGCGCGTGGGGAGAGGGTGCAGACTGCACCAGGGGCCACCAAGGAAGAGTCGCCCAGGAGCCAGCCACTGTGACCCTAAAGGAAGCTCGTGGTGCACCCAGAGCCCGTGCAGAACGGTTCTGTAGCCCCAGACCCCGTGTGTGCATGACTCGGGCAGTGGTCTGCTGCCGGATAATCCACCCTGAAATTCCTGCGAACAGAATGGGAGCAAAGGCTGAGCGGAGCGGCCGGGAGTCGAGGGCTCACGCCCGGCCGCGGGCCGGCCCCGGGCAGGACCCCAGGCCGCGGGTATTTTCTGGATGCTTGGAGGTGAGGCCCAGAGGATGTGTGGCCTTCAAGGGAGTCCGGTGCGCACAGGCAGTTCCCGGGAGGGGGACCGGTGCCCCAGCCTCTTCCTTAGATTTGAGGCCTCAGCCCAGAGTGTTTCTCACCAGGGAGAACGGGCCAGGGCATCCCAACGCCAGCTCTGCCAGCCCGAGGAGGTGCAGGCAAGGGGCCCGGTGCCAGCCAAGAGGCGGCCCCGTGCCTCTTCTCAGACCCCTTCTCTCTGCAGGGCGCTGGTGGACGCAGCTGTGGTGGCCAAGGACACGGTTGTGTGTGGCTTCGTGAATGAAGACACGGAGTGGTGCCTGGCCGTGTGGAGGGGCTGGGGTGCCCGGGAGTTTGACATCTTCTACCAGTCCTACGAGGAGCTGGGCCGGCTGGAGGCTTGCACACGGAGGAGAAGGTAATCCCTGTGCTGCCACGGCCGTCGTGCAGAGCCGGCCTCCGCCTGCAGCCCGCAGCCCCTCGAGGACACTGGGAAGTGACTGGGACTCCAGTGGTCTGGGGGTTCTCGCTCCTCAAGGGTAAAGTGACCTAAGCACCCCGTCTCTCCACTGCAGCCTCCACAGCCCCAGGCAGGGCAGTGGGCTCCGGTGGGAGGGGCCCCCTCCTGCGTCCCCCATCAGCTGCCAGGAGCAGCGGAGGGGACCCCACTCTGGGCTGGGCCCCACCACAGGAGGCAGGGCCTTCCTGACATAATGGGCCTGCCCAGCGCCCTTCCTGGATCTCAGATGGAATTACACAGAGGCTCTCGGCTGGGGAGCCGTCCAGGGCAGGGTGGGAGGAGGGCCGTGACCCCGTCCCCTCCTCCCCTCCCCTGGGGGCCCCCAGGCTCGCAGCCCCTTTCATGAGCTCTCAGTCCCAGGGCCCGGGGTGGGCGTGGGCAGGCAGCGATCAGATGTCCCCTGCCCGGGGAAGTCTGTGCCTGAGAAGCCCCCAAGGGCCCTGGTGAGGCGCGGTGCCCGCTCTGTCCGGGCATGAGTGAGTCCCTTTAAGTGCCAGCCGGAAAGCCCAGAGGCCCGGGGGAGCCTTTGCATTCTTCTCCCCGACAAAAGGAAGGAGAAAGTCCGTTAGCAGCCTCGAGAAAGGGCCTTGTGTTTCAGGCTTTGGAAAATAAACTCGGACGCAGCTGGAGCACAAGCCCTGTTTGTTTGCACGTAATAATCTTGTTTATCACTGTAGCAAATTAAGTGACGTCTCGGCGGTTAGGCTGTGCCTGGGAATTCCCAGCGAGTGGAGCTCACACCAAATGACGGATTGGTCCAACCCTGCTGCACACGGGGACGGCAGAGCACAAAACGCAGGATTGGCCGTGGGGCGTAGGGACGCCAGCGAGCATTCCTGTAAAACACGCACACACAGCCGTGTGCACACGTTGCACACACACAGGCCCGTGTGTGCCCCTCTTTGCCGGGAGTTGGCCAAGAACGGGAGCTCGAATGGGAGATGTGTGCAGTCCAAGTCATTGACCCTTTTCTCAGGCTAAACGATAAAAACCAAACGTGGGGTTTGCTGAGGGGTGGGCAAGCGTGGGAATACACAGACCCTCAGGAGGGAGCGCAGGGCCTCTGCGGAGAGCTCTGGCCCTCCCCGGGCCTCGCTGCCCAGGGCAGGGATGGGCGGCCCGGAACTGTTTTTCCGTGGGCGGAGCCTGCTGCTCTGTGTCAGAATAGCCTAAGGAAAGAGACCCCCCCACCTCCCCTAGGGACTCGGGCTCCAAGCCCCAGGGGGCCAAGGGTCTGTGCCCCCTGCCTGCTCCACCGCCTTTTTTTTTTTAAGACTTATTTTATTTATTTGAAAGAGTTACAGGGAGAGGTAGAGACAGAGAGAGAGGTCTTCCATCCCCTGGTTCACTCCCCCAGATGGCCGCAACGGCCAGAGCTGTGCTGATTCGAAACCAGGAGTTTCTTCCAGGTCTCCCACATGGGAGCAGGGGCCCAAGGACTTGGGCCATCTTCAACTGCTTTCCCAGGCCATAGCAGAGAGCTGGATCGGAAGAGGAGCAGCCGGGACTAGAACCGGTGCCCATATGGGATGCCGGTGCTTCAGGCCAGGGTTTTAACCTGCTGTGCCACAGCACCGGCCCCTCCACTGCCTTTCTTTCACCCCAGCCCCCCAGCAGGGCCTTAGGGGTCACTGTCCCCCTCCTCTCACTCTGGGGCCCACAGCTACCCATTAATGCCCCAAATACAAACCAGGTCCCCTGCCCCCAGCTTGCATTCTGTCACCTGCAGCCAGGTGGCTTTGCCACCATGCAGGCTCCCCGATCCAGACCCCATCTGCTTCCCCACCTCACCTTGTCCTGCCCCAGGCCCACGCCAGGTGAGGGGACCCCTTCACACGGTTAGAAACCATGCAGGAAATGGTTCATGAACTTGAGGACATAGAGATGGAAATAGAAAACTCACCACGAACTCCAACAGTGGACTATCAACTCAGGGGGGAAAGTTTGCAATCGAGAGACAAATAGCTCACTTGCTATTATTATATAAAGAATTTCATATTTGTCAACAAGAGAGAGAAGGGGCCGGCATTGTGGTGCCGTGTGTTAAGCTGCCGCCTGCGAGACCAGCGTCCCACATCAGAGCGCTGGTCCCAGTCCCGGCTGCTCCACTTCTGATCCAGCTCCCTGCTAGCACACCTGGGAAGGCAGTGGAAGATGGCACAAGTGGCTGGGCCCCTGCACTCGTGTGAGAGATCCTATGGAGTTCAGGCTCCTGGCTCTGGCCTGGACTGGCCCCAGCCATCGTGGCCGTTTGGTGGGTGATCCAGGGAGTAGCGCAGAGGAGTTCGCGGGAAGAGCGCTCTGACCGGAGCTGTGGCAGGCGCGGCTCACTGCACTCTTCTCCTTGCACATCATTTCCCAGCAGCCTTTGAGGCGGACGTGGCTCAGCGCTGAGCCCCAGCCAGGAGCCCGGTGGTCAAGCCGGGCTGGTCGAAGTGCCTCCTAAGGGGCCCGAGTCGGCAGGGGGCACTGTGGCCACGTCCCCTGCCCTTGTCTTCCTAGAGGGGCCGTGAGAGCTGGGCCCTGTCTCTGGGATGCTGGGAGCCTGCCCACGGGGCTTCCCCCGGCCTCATGGAAGCCGATCATCTGCATCCCCTGAGCCCTGCAGCCAGAGGTGCTTCCTAAACCCTCAGATCCGTCGTCCGTTAGCCCAGCCAGAGCCCTGAGACTCGGCGAGTGAGCTGACGGCTCCCTTCTCTGCCGGTTCTGGGAGATGGACCAGGGCTGGGTGGAGGGCAGCGTCACAGGGCCAGCCGCGCCGCAGTCCATACTCCTGCGTCACACGAGCCACGAGAGGGGCCACAAGCTAGGGTGTGGTGGCCTTGAGGGTGAGTTACGCTGCCCACCCCGCCCTGTCACCCTGGTGTCTCCCGAGGGAAACAGCAGTGACGATTGCTGCCCCAGCGTGTATGTGACAGCCCGGCCCTGCCCGGCTCCCTGCCCTCTTGCAACTCCTCTCTCCCCTGCCTCGAAAGGGCATGGGGAGAAACACAGCTCCTCCTGAGAACCACTCAGGTCCTGGTAGGGCGGTGACGGGGCCGGAGGGTCGGAGCAGGAATTAAGATGCCTCTTAGGTCACTCACATCCACATCAGAGTGCCTGGTTCAAGGCCCAGCTCCACTTCCATCCCAGCTGCCTGCCGACGTGCACCCTGGGAAACGGCAGGTGATGGCTCAGGTCCACGGGTTCCTGCCTCCCACGGAAGAGACCTGAGTTCTAGGCTCCTGGCTTCAGCCAGGCCCAGCCTCAGCTGCTGTGGGCACTGGGGTTGTGAGCCCGTGGATGGAAGACATCTCTCTCTCTCTCTCTCTCTCTGCAACTCTGCCTTTCAAATAAAAAAAAAATGAAAAAAGTGAAATGGGAATAAGATTAGGCATAGACATAAAGTCAAATGCATGTCCACTTTGCCGACAGCGGTCTCTGCCATCCCCAGGACTTCCACCAAGGCCTCCTTTCAGGCCTGCGTGGGACCCGTGGCTTCCACAGGTTGGCCAGGGGGCGAGGCTGTGGGATCGGCACCGCCAAGTGTGCCTGTGGAAGGGGGACATCGCCCCTCGCAGGCGAGACCCCTGCATTGCCTGTGGGAGGCCCCAGGGTGCGCCCTCCTCCACCCCGGCCCTGTGGCACTAGCCGGAGGTCACTTGGCCCCCCTGGGTCCCAGGGAGGAGCCCCAGAGGGTTCAGGCAGCCCCAGGGAGGTGTCAGGACAGCACGAGGAAAGCTGGAGGTTGGAGCCACTGGGGTGGGGGCTTCACCCAGCCACCCTGACCTAGACGTGGCCCTGACACCCGCCAGCCCCTGCCCTCACCCGTGCCGCCCAGCAGTGACACATGGGCTGTGCCGTCATGCCGGGCTCCACAGAGCTGTCCTGTGCAGACAGGAGCTTCTCAGAGGAGGGCCAGGGAGGAGAGGGCCTGCAGCAGGGAGTCTCACCCTACAGAAAGGTGGGCGGCCGCAACCAGCTTTGGAACCAGAAACGCCCACCCAGACAGGAGCCCCACACGTTTTACTGTGGACGGAGGCTGGAAAGTGGGAGCTGTGGTTGGACCCACGTGGGAGGTCCAGAAGAAGCTCCTGGCTCCTGGCTTCAGCCTGGCCCATCCATGGCTGTTGCAGCCATTTGGGAGGTGAACCTACAGATAGAAAATTTCTCTCTCTCTCTCTCTCTCTCTGTGAATTCAGCCTTTCAAATAAATAAATCTTTTTTTAAAAAAAGAAATATACGCGTAGCATTCTTCATTCATACATATGGAGACAAAAATGCTGACTGAAACATTGCTGATAGTTCTCTCTGGCTGGTGAGCTCATCACTGATTTTTGTCCTTTTTATTCTGGCTTGTCCTGGTTATTTCTTTGGTAATAAGAAGCAAATAAAGTGATCAAACTGTCCACTGTGATTAACTGGCTTCACTGTTGGAGCAGAGATGCAAAGGCTATGACTGCTCCACTTGGCAGCCGGAGCTCCCCAGCAGCCAGGCCCAAAAGGTGACCTTGGCCAGTGACCCCGTTCCGGGGCGGCACGGTCGGCTCCGTCTGGGTCGCACGGAGCACAGAGGGGACGCCGGGAAGGATGTCCACAGCAGCATAGCCGCAGGCGGCTCCACCGGCCGCCACGCACAGCCACAGCCCGGGCGAGTGTGGCCCCTCAGCGTCCTGGCTGGAGTTGGGCTCTGGAGCACCCGGAAGCCGACTGCCTCCTGCAGCCGAGTTTCTGGGCGAGGCAGAGACGGTGCTGGGCAGGGGCGGCTCCCACGCGGTGGCAGCAGCCGCCTCTCAACGTCGCACCTGCCTTGCAGCTGGAGCTCTGCCCACATCACTGTTGCTACAGAGAGGGGCCTTCTGGCTCCCTCCGGAACCCCCGTCTGTCTGCCGTCTACACAGCTCTGAGGGCCAGGGCCCGACTCAGAGCACCAGCTTCCGGCTGCCTCCCAACTAGGCTTTCTCAGCAGGCACTGGGCGGACCCTGCCACCTGGACTTCAGCTGTCCTCCAAGGCCCCCTGCGTAGCTGGCCCCGCGGGCTCTTCGGCTCTGCTTCCAAGGGCACGTGGTTCTACACGTGTTGCCCTGAGGCTGTCGGCCCCAGCACGGGCCAGGCCGCCCTGGGCTGCTCCAGAGGGCGCCTGTCCCTGAACCACCAACGTGTGTCACTGTGCTCCTCCTGCACTGTCCGATTACTGCCACGCTAGGCCTGGGCAAGGTGGGTCCGCTGCAGCCAAGTCCACCACCTCGCAGCCACTCTGCTCCACTTGGGGTCTCGGCATCTCGTCTGCAGCCCCCACTGCCCCCTGCTCTGGCTCTGGGAGCCTCAGCTCCCGCCTCCACACAATGGGAGGGTTCAATAGAGACAGGACGGCAGGGTCGCCCACAGCTGCATCCTTGGCCCTGTGTGCTGCAGCTGCTTGTCCCTGAGGCCTCAAGTCCCCAGATGTCACCAGCTTGGCGGCTCCATCGGCACTGGTGACCGAGCCGAGGCCTGGAGCGTGAGGGCCGCCACACAGCCAGGACCCTGTTTGGCTGGCTCCGGCTGAGCCTGCTGCCTGGGATCCTGGATCCGTCCTTCCTGGGTCCGGGCTCAGCCCCTTCTCCAGAGACCTGCATTCTCCTAGTCCAGAGGTTGAAGGGAGTCAGGATGGGA